TTCAACATCAAAAAGACACAAATCCTTACCACTGTACTGTAGATGAAGAAAAGACTGAAGTTGTCAATTATTTCATCTTACTTAGATATATAATCACCACCCTTGGTATCAGCAGTCAGGAGATCTGGAGACATGTTGCATTGGGAAAGTCTGCAGTCAGGGACCTCTCCAAATTACTGAGGGGCAATGATGCCAGTTTGAAGACTAAGACACACTTGATTCAGGCTATGGTCTTTTCAATCACTTGTTATATATCTGGAAGGTGGACAGTGAATAAGAATGACAGAAGAATAATTGAATCCTTTGAGCTGTGGTATTGGAGAACAGTATTGAATATCCCATGGTCTGTCAAAAGAACAAACAGATATGTCTTGGAGAAAGTGAAGCCAGAATATTCCTTAGAGACAAAGATGATGAAGCTTCATCTCACATACTTTGGGTACATTGCTAGGAGAGGCTATTCATTAGAAGGGACATCGTGCTGATTTACAATATCTGAAAACATACTGGAGGGTCATCTATGAATCAGTTCCAACTCCGTAGCACATAGCAAGAACAATAAAGATATAAAGGGGTGGGCAATTTCCTCCTGTACAAGTACAGCTTAGGAAACTCAAAGGAGGTTCAGCTAAAAGTCAGTTCCAACTTGACAGCAATAAATAATTTTTAATGTTGAATAAAATATATATAGCACCATCAAGATGGAATGGACTCATTGCTGACCCTCCAGTGGGTTTTCAGAGAGAAAAAATCATACAGGTGAAGATTGCTCATCTTTCTCCCGTGGAGCTACTGGTAGATTCCAACCTTCAGAAACCTTTGAAGTAACAGCACACCCCTCTAAGCATTATGTCCCCAGGGCACACTCTGTTTCTCTCATATCTAGACAGGCTTTGTATTTCCTTCTATTGTAAAACGACAATAAAATGTTAAATTAGGGAAAATGGCTTATATATGTTGGTAAAATACAGGAATAAATATTAGGGGGGTAAAACACTTACATGCAGTTGATTTTGCAGAAGGATTAGGCAGAGCTGGTGAGGCTATGGAAGAAGGTGGTTTTTTTTTAATCTGTGTCATATACCTCATTTAATTTGTTAAAGTTCTGTACATGTTTGTGGAGGTGTGGGGTGTTTTTTTTTCTTTAGTTAAAAGTATGTTTTAAGAAGAATAAAGGAAATTTAAAATCATGGAGGGAATTAGACTATCTCTTGGGTAATATTTATTACCTTGGTGATTTTATTGCCATCCTAGATCCAGAAAACAACTCAGAAGCCAGAGTTATTAGCCCTTTGAGCAACAACATCTCTATGGAACAGACACACATTAACCAGGCTCATGAGACTGATATTTCAAATCGGATGCCAATTCATTAACTTATTAGGGGGAGCAGGCCTTTGCAACAGACTGAAGCTTGCCATTCCATTTGCCAGTGCGTGCATTCTGTCCCTGTGGGCAGATCAACAGGAGGAACAGAATGGTGTTCAGTAGTTCGCTTGATGATCCAGAACACAGGCAAAGTGGGGGAGAGTGTTAACTGGGTGGATCCCGCGGATGATGCCGTCATCACCCCTGTTCCTAGACCACAATTTAGTGCTTGCACAGTGCCAGGATGGGCATTCTGGTGATGGTTTAGGCAGCTCTCCTTGGCCTCTGACTACTTGGCTACCCAAACCCCACCTGCTTGGCACCTTCTTTCTTTACCTGTATTAATATCGTTAATCAAATTACACTCTAAGCTGCTCCTGAGAGCTGTTCTGTCTCTATCAGGTAAGATAGTAGATCTCCACTGTAAAGCACTGAGTGAGACTGACATTTATCCCTGCTCTTTTGGAGTTTGCATTCTAGTGAGGAAGAAGACATCCAACGAACAATTTAAATAACTAAAAGTATGCAAAATAGAGAGCATCCTGACTCTCAAGACAATTTTCTTTTCTCCCCACACTCTATGTTAAGTCAGAGGAGGGCCCTTCCTAATTGCTTTCAGATGACACCCACAACCAAAAAATCAAAAGGGACTTACTTGATTGAGGACTTAGTCTAGAGAGAAAATGAAAGTTCATTTTCCAAGCACAGCTTTCTAACTTCCTGTGACTTAGTCTTAAGGAATTGTACTGCCAGTACAAAGGTATATGGTTGGAATCCACCAGCTGCTCTACAGGATAAAAATGGACAATCTTTTCCTGTGCAGTTTACTTCCACTGAAAACCCACTGGAGGGTTAGCTATGGGTAGGTTCTGACTCAGTGGTATACAACAATAACATGAATTCTATAAGGAAACTCTGGCGGCCTGGTGACAAAGAGTTGACTGCCAACCCAAAGTCAAACAGTTTGATCCCACCGGCTGCTGCTCCTTGGGAGAAAGGTGGGCAATCTTCTCCCATACAATTTATAGCCTCTAAAAAACTCGCTGGATGGTAGTCAGTTATGAATCGGTTCCAAGTGGATGACACACAACCACAACATGGATTCTACACCCCCTCCCCCTGCCAAATCTTACAATAAAGCTATTTTCTGCTTGAACTTTTCTAGGGGTTTGTTTCTGTAATTTGTAACCAAGACTCTTGCCAGCAACCATTTCAGACATCTGTGGACAAGACAATTCAAATCCCTCTGCCTCAAGGCTGGGACCAAAACTGGAGTCTTTCTAATTTCTGCTCTGATTTAGCACAGAGGAGGATTCCAAATAAAATCTGGTTGACTGAATCACTCAATAAAGCAGTTAACGAATATCTGCCAGAAGCCATTCTAGGTGTTAAGGATACAAAGCAAGAAAGAATTAGCTCTTGCCACTGAGAGTGTTTCACATGCATCTTAGAACTAACACGGCTAAAACTAAGGTTATCAACTACACTGCTATTGCTTCCTCTCAATTCATTGCTTGATTGTTCTCCCCCAACTCATATGCTCACAACTTGTGGCCTAGATTCCGGCCACACTGAATGACTAGCACCCTCATTTCCCTCTACTGGAACACCAAGAGAGAGTGATTTGTATTCTCAGATTACAGGAGTCGGAGAGAGATAGCAGGAAATCAGAATAGGTAGACTGGGACAATATTTAAATATGAGGTGAAATAATCTAGATATATTGTCTATTGTCACATTTTTCCCCCCCTGGGCCTATGTCTCAGATGGTTAAAGCAATTTCATAGCTTTCCCATTTTCCCTGAAGGTCATTTGCATGAAGGGTTCTACAGGGCTTCTGTTTTCATCATCCTGACCTGATATACAGGACAAAGAATGTTCCTATTTTATGTAAGAGAAGGTTTGAATCCTAAGTTTCTAATGAGCAAATGATAAAGCAATGGCTTGCATGCCATTTCCAAACACCAAATTACCATTTTTTTTCTTTTATGAGGGCAGTTCATATAGGATATTTTGTGTGGTCATGGGAAGGAAAAGAGTTTTGGTTCTGACTTAGCTCACAGAAAATAAATTAACCCTCTCAATTGGTCTACTTACTCTCCTCCTGGCCCAGTACCCTACCCAGGATGCTGTATCTTAACCTCCAGAACAATCCTGTGAGGGACATATTGTTGTTGTTATGTGCCGTCGAGTCACCTACGACTCATAGCGACCCTATGTACAACAGTCCTAAACCCTGCTCTGTCCTGTCCTAATCTCACTGTCTCTGACACACTCCGATTACCCCAGTCACTGAATCAATCCATCTCATCGAGGGTCTTCCTCTCTTCCATTGTCCCTCCACCCTCCCAAGCATGACATCCCTCCTTGCAACCTGTCCAAAGTATGTCAGATGAAGCTTCAGAATCCTTGCCTCCAAGGAGCAGCCTGGTTTAACCCTCTCCAGCACAAACCGGTTTGTTCTCTTAGCAGTCCGTGGTATATTCAATACT